TTACGCGTTGATATATTCACCTTAAGCACAGCTTCATCTTTATCTTGAGTAATTATGCAAACACCTTCGCACCTTATGCAAATTCACAATGCATGGATTGAAAAAGGCATACAAGATTTTAAAGTGTTCATTTCGAGTTTTTGTAATCATACTATTTAAATGGAGACAGGTATAACTTAATCATAACAAGTAAGGAAGGGCTAAGTTCGGATGTAACCGAACATTTTATACTCTCGCAAAGTCAAATGGTATACTCGTTTGAGATTTCTTTGTGGATTGACTGATATTTTCGGTAGAAGGTCAACTATAGGCACTGGGGTCCACATATTTAGTACTTAGGCGTTCGAACAGTTTTGGTTCGATTTAGACAATTTTTGGCCGCAAGGTGGCATACTTTAATTGCATTATTCACGCAAAGTTTTACCCCGATATAGTCATTGTTACCTGATTTGCATAGTGGAAAGTGAAAGAATCAGATGGAATTGAAAATGGTGTTACATGGGAAGTAAGCGTGGTTGTAGTCCGACTTCGCCAATTTTTGCACTATAACATAGAAATATGAAAAGAACGTTATGCACCGAATTTGGTTGAAATCGGTTGAGCAGATCTCAAGATATGGGTTTTCACCTAAAAGTGGGCTGTGCCACGCCCACTGACTAATTTTGAACGCGGTTCCTATAAAGCCAATTTATACCATCTCAGAGATAAAATTTAATGTCTCTGGCGTGTTTAGTGCTTGATTTATCGCGCTTTTAGTAGTTTTTAACAGTACCGTTATATGGGGAGTGGGCGGAGTTGCCACCCGATTTCACCCATTTTCACACTGCAGGTAGAGATTCTAAAAACATTTGCTTCTAGTGAATTTTGTTATTATAGCATTAGCGGTTTAGGAGATATGCACATTAAACCTATTAGAGGCGGGACCACGCCCACCATTAAAAAAACTTCAGATGCCACTCTCTAATGTGATTCTGTGTACCAAATAACAGTCTTGTATCTTATTGCGGAGCTTAGTTATGGCAAGTTATTTGTTTTTGATTAATGGCATTTTGTGGGCGTGGCAGTGATCCGATTACGCCCATCTGCAATACCAACCGTCTCACGGTACAAAGAAACATGTCTACCAAGTTTCATAAAGATATCTCAATTTTTACTCAAGTAAGAGCTTGCACGGACGGACGGACGGACGGACAGACGGACAGACAGTCACCGGATTTCAACTCGTCTCTTCATCCTGATCATTTATATATATATAACCCTATATCTAACTCGATTAGTTTTAGGTGATACAAACAACCGTTAGGTGAACAAAACTATTATACTCTGTAGCAACAGGTTGCGAGAGTATAAAAATTATGAAACATTAAACACGAAACGATGCATTAGTAAACATATTTTTTTAAAACATTATAAGATAACTGAACTCAATTAAAATTTTTCGCTAATAATCTCAATTGCTTGCAGTGGAGCTATAGAAGTATTCAGCTTTATTATAAAGATAAGGGTTTGCCATTTTGTCTTAGAAATGGTTTCGCCGCGGCTGGCTGGAATAAATTCCAGCCGAGAGGCCCAATCTTCGACCACTTTTTACAGTATTTGGAGCCGTATGTCAGCAATAACGCATCGAATATTCTCTTCCAAGGCGTCAACCGTCTCGGGCTTATCTGCGTAGACAAGTGACTTTACATAACACCATAAAAAAACAGTCTAGCATTGTGGCGCCGTCTTCTTGGAACCAAAGGTCATCCACATCAACATCCACCAATTCAGACACGAAGAAATCATTAATCATGGCTCTATTGCTTTCCCCATTGACGATGATGAAATATGTGCTAATGATTCCCTTGGCGCATAGTGCACACCCATTTTGACTTTTTGAGGCTGTAACGGTGATTCAAAAATTGGTTGTGGATTATCATCACTCCAAATGCTACAATTTTGTTTATTAACGTACCCCTTCAACCAAAAGTTATGTTCCTCGCTAAACAATATTTTCTTGTGAAAATCGAAATCAGTGGCCATCTCGGTTTGGGCCCATTCACCGAACGTGCGACGTGTTTAATGGTCGTTCGGGTTGTTCATTATAAAATGGCAAACCAAACTAAATATAAATCAAGTAAAAGCTGTCAAAAAGACTAACTCCGAAAAACACACGTCTAAAAAAATATATATATATCTGATATAACTATTAGCCAAGCATTATAGAAACAAGATTGTCACATGCCATGTCCTAAACCAAAAAAAACTTTCAAACTTTTCTAACAATTTCAAACAAGCAGTTCCCGTCTTTCATTCAAGACGTCAAGAACTAGTATTCTGTTAAACGCATCCGCAAAAGGGACGAATATTTCTAATTCATTTACTCTCGCAACATGTTGCTCCAGACTATAATAGTTTCGTTCATCTTACGTTTATTTGTAACACCTAAAACTAATCGAGATATGTATATATTTATATACATAAATAATCGGGATGTTGAGGCGTGTTGATCCGTCCGTCTGTCCGTGAAAGCTGTAACTTAAGTAAAAATAAAATAAAGATATCTTGATGGAACTTGATATACATATGTACACGTTCTCCGGCCCCACAAGAAGTTTGGTTATTGTGGTTTGAAAATCTTTAAAACATGGGAACATACTAAATCAGAAAACAGCCACACCTACTTCTCATATATCACAATTGTAAATTCCATTTGATTCCTTCACTTTACAGTGCAGAAATCAAGTAATAACGAAGATATCACAATAAAATTCTGCACAAAGAGTATCTTTATAGCATGGCATCTTACGTCTAAAAACTGTCGAAATCAGACCATAACTTCTTAAGTCCCCAGATACCGTATATGCGAACCTCAGTCCCTTTAACTAATACATGTATGGATTTTATTAAACATTTTTGTAAAATTCTCAGATATATTATTGAAATTTGTGCCGAAAATTAATAAAATCGTTTAATTACAATACTAAGCCAAGCTCCCATATACCTAATATAAAAATTTCAGCCCTCGGATTTTATATCTAAATCAGTCAATATATAAGATATCTTAGCAAACAACATATAATCTTGGCTATAATATAGTTTAATGCAGAAAATATGTATGTATGTAAAATCTTCAACAAATTACCCCATTTCCCAGCGACTATGTCGCGTATGTCGATCAGTGTGTAAGTTATCTTCCCAAAAGTTAATCCAATCTTTCCCTAGCCCCAATATATCCGATAAAGTGATTTTCGACTGTTCACCTTACTTCGAACCGTTTACGTCGGTGAATAAAACACATATTTTAATGAAATTATGTGCACACGTTTTTTTTATACTCTCGCCACCTGTTGCTACAGAGTATAATAGTTTTGTTCACCTAACGGTTGTTTGTATCACCTAAAACTAATCAAGTTAGATATAGGGTTATGTATATATAAATGATCGAAATGAAGAGACGAGTTAAAATTCGAGTGTCTGTCTCTCCGTCCATCTGCCCGTCCGTCTGTGCAAGATGTAACTTGAGTAAAAATTTAGACATCTTTATGAAACTTGGTACACATGTTTCTTGGTTTAGTTCGAGTACAAATTTATTTATATAGATTTCTTAAGGTATAGCGAATCACCCATTTGGTGTACAAAAAGCGAAAAATCGAAGCCCGATGATATGGTACTAGTATCCCTTCCAAATATGTATCTTTAAAACTTACGAAAACACAATCAAGTTTGACTTTATTAGACTATTTTAGAAATTTCTCGAGATCTAACATTGTAATATCTAAAAAAAGGATGTAAACTATACGAAAATGTGATTACAACCGAAACTTTCGAGAATGTTGTCAAATCATTTGTAATTAGTAAGCTTCCTTTAGTTAAATGAGATTTTGATAATAATATTAGGTTTTATTAGTTTAATAGTAGCTTAATAAAACTTGAGTAGCATCGACTAATTATTAGATATAATCAGATCAAAAAATTGGCGCTTATAATGATTGTTATAAAAGAAATGGTGAAATCAGTCTTACCTTCTGCTCAAATATAAACGAGACTGGCTCAAAAAATAAAAACGGTTAATTATTCTTCAATATTTATTTTATCCCCTTCAAAATAGTCACCATTAGAGGCGATACACATATGCCACCTTTTTTCCAATCTTCATAACACTTCTGGTAGGCCGCTTTAGGTATGGCTTTCAGTTCCTTCTTCGAATTCTCTTTTATGACTTCAATCGACTGAAAATGCTTTCCACGAAGCGGCAATTTGAGTTTAGGGAAAAGAAAAAAGTCACACGGTGCCATGTCGGGTGAATACGGTGCTTGCGGAACAATATTTACGTTGTTTTTGGTCAAATAATCGCGTACAAGACGAGACGTATGAGCTGGATTTTGGAACAAGTCGAGCAGACACACGTCTCATGCCCAAAACATCGTGAATAATGCTATGAGCGGATCCATTTGATATGTTGAGCTCACTAGCTATCTCTCTTTCAGTCACACGACGATTTTCCAACACAATTTTCTTTACTTTTTCGACGTTTTCTTCGTTTATTGACGTTGCTGGACGACGATCATGGGGTAAGTTCTCCAGCGATGTACGGCCGTCCTTGAACGACTTATACCAATCAAAAATACGTGCACGTGATAGACAAGACTCCCCATATGCCTTCTGCAACATTTTCATTGCATCCGTCGCACTTATTCCATTGGAATAACAAAATTTCAAACAAACACTTTTTGCTCAACGTTAATTTCCATAGTAAAATTCGAAAAACACACTCGAGGTTGACTTGTTTATAGTGCCTTAAAAAAAAAAACTATGTGACAGATCGCGCTCAAATTTGACATGTAAACATATAACAGTCCTGCCAACCTAAACAAAAAAGTATGGCCACATGTCATGTCCTTGTCGAGTTATGGATAAAGTCTCGTTTTGCGTTGAGCAGAAGGTATGTTTTTTTGTGAACACCAGTTTTAGAAATAGTTTGGTCACGAATCAATTATAAGAATAATGCAGCCTTTTTTAAAAACTTGTTTATTTAATTTAAATAATTCACATCTATCTTCTTTAACTATTTTAATAAATAATTAATTAGGATGGTTTTGAAGGCGTCTTTCATGTCTACATTCGCATTAAAAATACACAAATCCCTTATAATATAATATACAATATTATAAAAGAACTGAAACTCTGGATCAAAACTGGTAATCGTACTTAACTAAATCTTAAATCAGACTTAAATTTGTGCAGAGCCATCACAGTCGTTTCATTTATGACATTTACAAATTTCCAGTTCTTTATTCTCCAGCAAAAATTGCATTTTCGCGCTGAACAATAATTGCACTGTCAGCATAATAAATTACTACTAAAACTAAGTACAAAACAACAATCAGTTAAGGTAAACAATATCACAGTTGCGATGTGTAGATGTGTAGTCGAATTGACGGATGTCAAACTTCTACACTCGAGAGTCACTTTTGACAATTACGGAACATGTCTGCGACATTCCGCCGTTAGGGGTACAGTTAGTATTTATGCGTCGCACCGTTATCACTGGATGTTGTTGTTACTACCGTTGATGTTGTTGTTGTTGTTGGCATCGTAAGAACTGTGTGGTTTTCACTCGCTTGTCCTACAGACTTGTTCCCCGATTTCTCAATGACTGTTGTCAAAGTGACAGCTGCTGCATGCAACAAGTTGTGTGGGCTATTAGCCTCCTCGTAAGTGGGCAAAACAGCGTAGTCTCTACCAGCCCGCACTATACCCGTTGTTCTTGTTCCAGTTGCATGCATCAGTTGTTGTTGTACAGCATTCATTGTTGGCAACAATGGTGTTGTCACTTCAACGAGTTGTGACTGAGGCTTTGTTGGTTGTAAAGGTTGTTGTTGCTTATTAGTTGTTGCTTTCTCGTTTACGTGGAATACGCTGAAGACGCTCGGGTGCACAATAAGACAGGATTGCGGTGATTTATTGAGCAGCTCCAGTGCAACTTCGTACGAAGGCAAGCCGGAGACGAGTGTGTATTCGGGCACAGGATCGTCAATATCAGAATGCAATTTCGTTGTTTCACTCTCGTGTCCATTGCGGGATTGCGCCACAGTGTTTCGGTCTGAAAGTGGGTAGAGAATAAAAGCAAATTGTTAGTTACGAAGAGGAAGGGGATTTTGTAGACAATAAATTTAGACATATATGTATAAAGTGAATGAATTTAAAGAGTAAATGTAATTGCATTAATGAAATTATGAAGAAATAGGTAAGGGTTTCAACAGAAAAAAAAATGTTTTTCAAAATTTCAGTATTTTTTCAAGTCAGTATATAGTAATGCTTTAATATAACTTTCGAAATTTTATTTAGCTGTAAAAATTGCGTTTTATTTATTATTTAGTACCAATTTACTAATCTACAAGATTTTAACAAAAAATAACATTAGATGCCTGTATATTAAATATCAAACATTGTCAATTTTTCAAACAAAATATAAAAATAATAATCAGTATACATGTATAAACATTGAAAAATTTTGCTTTAAATTCTCTACTGACGTGGGTTGAAGTCAACGATCGCAATTTAATTTTGTAAAAATAACCGGCAACCCGCTTTAGTCTACATCCAACTTCTACGTTATTATGACGTTGTACAAATAAGGAAAAAAATACATAGTATTTACATACCATACACTATTGCGAATATATTTACACGAAGCAATGCATATAATATCTATTTATTATTAATTCTGACCTATTTTTGACATTTTGCTGTTAGTTATTACGAATCTAATTAGTTTTGAGCTGCTTAAATATTGACACTGATCATCTACTCGTGTATTGCGTCAGTTGCTATAAGTCTTAAATTTATTTTACATAACAAATATATTAATTAAAGCAAGAAAACACGTTAACTGCGGTTGCACCGAAGTTGTAATACCCTTCACAAATAACAAAGTTTTGATCGGTGAGTTTGTATGTTATAGTCGTCTTACATCGGCGGTTCCGACAACCGATATCTCAAATACTGAGGAAGTAGATCACATATATACAGGCAGACGGACAGACGGACATTGCCCAATCGAAACAGCCCGTTAAACTAATGCTTTTATATTATATGTATATACTATTACATATTATATTTTATTTAATAGGGTCTCCGACGTTTTCTTCTGAGTGTTACAAACTTCATGGGAAACTTAATATACCCTGGTATACTAATATATAAACCAAATAAAAATTAATTGAAAGTGTTTAAGTTTCCTGCTTTTATGCCAATAAAAATTAAATATAAATGAATGAGTAGATTACAGCACAATATTTTTGCAGCATTCAAAAATTGTTGAAATATGTTTCATGCGCCCTTTACTGGCTAATTGATATATAAATACTCATAAAGCAGTACTTTCACTAAGTACATACATATGTATTGTATGTATGTGACTCAATATACCTATATATAGTAAATATTATATTAACTCATAGCTTGTACGCTGTCTGATTGTTTGAGCGGTAAGTTTTATAAAGCGTGGTTTGTTATGAACTGTACTTGTTATACTCTCGCAACCTGTTCCTACAGAGTATAATAGTTTTGTTCACCTAACGGTTGTTTGTATCACCTAAAACTAATCGAGTTAGATATAGGGTTATATATATATAAATGATCAGGATGAAGAGACGAGTTGAAATCCGGGTGACTGTCTGTCCGTCCGTCCGTCCGTCCGTCCGTGCAAGCTCTAACTTGAGTAAAAATTGAGATATCTTTATGAAACTTGGTAGACATGTTTCTTTGTACCGTGAGACGGTTGGTATTGCAGATGGGCGTAATCGGACCACTGCCACGCCCACAAAACGCCATTAATCAAAAACAAATAAATTGCCATAACTAAGCTCCGCAATAAGATACAAGACTGTTATTTGGAATCACATTAGGTAGGGGCATCTGAAGTTTTTTTAAAAGTGGGCGTGGTCCCGCCTCTAATAGGTTTAATGTGCATATCTCCTAAACCGCTAATGCTATGATAACAAAATTCACTAGAAGCAAATATTTTTAGAACTTCTACCTGCAGTGTGAAAATGGGTGAAATCGGGTGGCAACTCCGCCCACTCCCCATATAACGGTACTGTTAAAAACTACTAAAAGCGCGATAAATCAAGCACTAAACACGCCAGAGACATTAAGTTTTATCTCTGAGATGGTATAAATTGGCTTTATAGGAATCGCGTTCAAAATTAGTCAGTGGGCGTGGCACAGCCCACTTTTAGGTGAAAACCCATATCTTGAGATCTGCTTAACCGATTTCAACCAAATTCGGTGCATAACGTTCTTTTCATGTTTCTATGTCATAGTGTGAAAATGGGCGAAATCGAACTACAACCACGCTTACTTCCCATTTCAATTCCATCTGATTCTTTCACTTTCCACTATGCAAATCAGGTAACAATGATTATATCGGGGTAAAACTTTGCGTGAATAATGCAATTAAAGTATGCCACCTTGCGGCCAAAAATTGTCTAAATCGAACCAAAACTGTTCAAGCCCCTAAGTACTAAATATGTGGACCCCAGTGCCTATAGTTGACCTTCTACCGAAAATATCAGTCAATCCACAAAGAAATCTCAAACGAGTATATCATTTGACTTTGCGAGAGTATAAAATGTTCGGTTACATCCGAACTTAGCCCTTCCTTACTTGTTTGTAATGTTTTTTGTTGCTTGTTTTGTAATACAATTTCTTTATTTCACTTTTCGATATTCAAATTGACAATTTTTTTAAAGTGAGAACAAAGAGTTAAATATTCTTTTGGAGAGATTATGAACTAATATCCTTTTCCGGGATAGGGAGATACGAATAATAGCAATAACACTGGTAAACAGAATTACATTTTTTTTGTTTTATGAAGTTTAAAACTGTTTCTTGCTAATTTGGCGCCGCTGATTTCACATCTAGTCTCAGTTTATTTTTAGCAGCTCTAGATTTAGTGATAGAGGTAGAGGCTTACTTCAATTAATATTTAGTGCAATAAATTTCATTATACTCTCATGTCTTTATATTTAGAGAATGCCGTTTAAATGCTTCAATTCTATAATTCTATAAACAAGACCTATTTGGACTGCTTTGGTAATAAAATACATAGAACTGACTGATATGCGTCGATCTTAAAATGGTAAATTTTCTTTTGGGTCAACAAGGAGGATATACCCAATACCCCTGTTTCATGTGCTTATGAAATAGCCGAATCCAGACAGAACACTGTATAAAAAGTGTTATTACCCCTCTTCATATAAAATTAGGTCTGATAAAACAGTTTGTAAAAGCTCTAAACAAGGATGGGAAATGTTTTATATACATATGTAAGTAAAATATTTTCGAAATTGAGCACAGAAAAAATTGAAGCTAGTATAAGTATTTGATGGTCCTCAAATCAGGGTACTAATAAAGGACCAACATTTTAATGATAGTATGACAGATAAGGAGAAATCTGCATGAATTGAATTGATTTGGGTTGAGAAAAATTTCTTAGGAAATAGAAATTCTCCAGACTACATTCAACACATTGAGTACTTCCAGAGATGTTTTCATCAGGATATTCACACTATGAAAGAGTGATACCAGGGTCATTGGAATGCAAATATGATGGCTGGTTACTGTTGGAGCGTTCAAAATAAGACCGATTGAGGCTTCTACTCATACAAGAAAAGCACATAAAAGAAAGTTTGTTTATTTTAAGTAAGAAAAATATATAATATTTTTTTATACTAAAATTGTGGTATATTTGGCTAAAATGTAATATGTTCATATTTCGAAAACTAGAGCTGCTAGAGAAAAACTGACTACAGAATTTCAAATTTTTAGATTAGATCGACTGAACAGAATCGGTGGAGGTGTTCTATTTGCCGTGCATTCCTCTATCCCATCTGAAAATGTTCTTGTTTCAGGGACCGACTCATTTGAATTTAAATGTATTAGAGTCTACGTTAATAGTTGCTTTATTTATTTAACCCTATCTTATATGCCACCCCATTCGGACTTATCTGCATGCTTCTTTAATAATAGAACCAAATTAATTTGATTCCGAATAAATTTGGTAAATGCTTAGATTTAGTAGATACCTCTTCAAAGTGTTCCGTTATTCAGAGTAATCCTCTTGTTCTACCAGAGGAATCATATTACCCTGATTTGGAAATATCTGTCGAAATCTCAGGCAATGTACGGGATAATAATCATCAAACTTCGTTCTTCTGTACTCGGTTTAACTTTGAAAAAGCTAATTTTAAAATGTTAAATACAGAACTTTCTACAATAACATGGCCTAATTATAATGGTGATATTGAATTGAGTGTCTCTCATTTAAATAGCATTATTACGAAATTATTTGAAAAGTATGTTAAAATAGTTATTGTGAATAAAAGTAAAAGTATAAGTCCGTGGTTTTCGAAAGAGTTATATAAATTGAAAAACAGAAAAACTCGAGCCTTTAAACATTTTAAAAAAACCGGTTCACTTATCGACTATTCTAAATATTCTCTGTTGCGTCGACAATATTTTGACCTAAACAAAAAATGTTATAATAATTACTTAAATAAAGTAAAAAAGAATATTGTAAGTAATCCAAAATCGTTTTATGATTTCGTCAACTCCAAACGCAGGATTTCCAAATTTCCGTCCGCGATGAAATACAAATCTATCATTTCAAGTGACAATGATAATATATGCAATATGTATGCAGAATTTTTCAAGTCAAACTACTGTAACAATTCTTCCAAAACTTTTTCTTAACAGCACGAGCTGTGTTCGAATACTTTAATTAACGCTCCAATTATTTCTGAAGAATACGTCCTACTTAATTTAAATAAGTTAAAACCATCTTTTAGTTACGGCCCAGACATGATACCCTCATGCTTCCTAAAAAATAGTGCCAAATATATTTACTTGCCTTTGACAAGGATATTTAATTCCTCTCTTAAACACGATATATTTCCTTCAATATGGAAACATTAATTTATAATTCCTTTGCATAAAAGTGGATTTAGATACAACATTGAAAACTATAGAGGTATCGCAAAACTATCAGTTATACCTAAACTGTTTGAAGCTATCATCACTGACTAACCTTTTCGATTTCTCCGTTAATTTCCTCATCTCATCTCATATAACAAACTTGCTTGAATTTGTAAACCATGTATCATTGGGTTTTAGGGAACATAAGCATACGGATGTTATATACACAGACTTTAGCAAAGCTTTCGATAAAGTAAATCTCTCGATTCTCATACATAAACTTGATCTGCTGGGCTTTCAGCCAAGATTCCTTCAATGGGTATCTTCCTATCTTTATAATAGAACACAACGAGTGATATTTGAGGATACACCTTCAGATACAATTAATGTTTCTTCAGGTGTTCTGCAAGGTAGTCATCTTGGCCCTATTCTGTTTTTGTAGTTTATTAACGAGATCTCTTCAGTAATAGAATTCTCAAAAATTTTATTATACGCCGACGACGTAAAACTTTTTAAATCATACACTTCAACTGAGGAAAGGTCTGTTGCAACAGACTTAAACAATTTGGTTGCATGGTGTGATAGAAATGATTTGCCATTGAATCTCAATAAATGTGAGATGATGTGCTTTTCCCATAAATCTGTGCACCACTCTTGTTATGTAGTAAAACACCATATTCTAGAGCAAGTTTTTAACTATGTTGATTTGGGAGTTAATATGGACTCTAAGCTTAATTTTAGTCTTGAAAGCAAAAGTTGTCCTCAGTTTTGTTAAACGTTGGTCTAAAGAATTTAGAGATCCGTATATTACTAAAACACTTTATACAACTTTGGTTAGACCTATATTGGAATATGGCTCTGTTGTATGGAACCCTAACTACCAAATCCATTCTGACAAGTTAGAGTCTGTTCAAAAAAATTTTTACTTTTCGCCTTAGCGCATTTCCGATGGGATTCTAGGGTAAGTCTACCTCCATACACTAGTCGTTTAAAACTTATTAATCTACTTACACTTTCTAGTCGTAGGGAAATGCACGTATGCGGATTGCGCCCCTCGCGTCGGTTGGGCGGGAGGAGGATAATCGTTGGGTTATTATTAAAAGAGGCTATATTTAATATATTGAGTTGTTATGGAAAACGTCAACCATATGATCGAAATTCTTTATATTAGGAATATGATGTTCAGATTAAGGTCTAGACCAATTCCATGTAGTAGTATTATAATTTGACCAACCTGCGTCGTTTAAAGTCAGATGAAAAGACTGAATTCATTATATGGGGTATATTGGGGGAAGAAAAAGGGGCAGGCTGATTGTATTGATTTGGACATTTCTCATGTTAACAAAATTGCGACATAATATATCAGAAAAGGATTTTCTCTGAATTTTAATAACATATCCCACGGATTGATCGATATTTTCAATAAAATGTTCGCTGTAGGAATTGGGGTCCACATATAAGACCGATTTTGACAACTTTTGGTCATAAGGTGGCCTACTTAAAGCGCTCTTTTTCATCGATTTCATCCATTTGTACAGTTTCTTTGGGGGTGCTTAAGGGATTTGTTCTGAGCGAATTTGGTTATTGTACCTTATGTGGGTTAAGAGATATATATATTAAACCGTTTAGAGGGCGGAACCACACTCATTTTTCCAAGATAGACAGACGGATGGACAGGTCTCAATTACTAAAACTATTTTACCCTGTAGCGACATGTTGCAAGAGTATAAAAATTGTTGTAAGGTGGTATACTGCGTATGTTTGTATATATATGTATGTATGTATACTCCATGCACCTCGTCGTTCCCGAAAACACTAAATCAAAATTACTGACATTTTCAAGGCAGTTTTACGTAAACTTGAAACTATGGGTACTTTTCCAGTTAAACTATGGGGCCCAGAGTTGAATTATTGTACTATAACAAGTTGAACTCGGACAATAAGCTTGCTTCACATTACAGCTTAATTTATCAGTTTGGTGTAGGTAATTCTTTGCTTTTTTTTAATTCTGGAAATCATAACATCAAACCATTGGTCCGTGCGAAAAAAGTTCTAAATTCTGAGTAGCTAAAATTGAACACTCAAGGTACACTTAGGTTAGGTTAAATGGTCGAACGCAACAGAGATCTCACTTGGACAGCTTATAACGCCGGCCCTTTGTGGTACTCAGAACTCCCAGAGGATTGATCATAAAAACCCTCATGAATCGACGAAGCGATCTTTCCACTTAACTCTCCTCCATACAACTTTGACAATTTGCGTCCGACTGAATTTTTAGCCTTACAGCATAAATGCCTATTGGACAATGCCCAGTAAAAACTCCTACAATTGCTGCAAGATTAACTTTGCGAAGAGCAAGAAGTTCAGAGACATCCTATGTTCCACTCTAGGCCAGCAGTGCGCAGAGGCTGGTAGTCGACCAACACCTGGCACGCACACGCGGACTACATATGTTTAGAGCTAGACCGCAAGATGACAACGGTGATCTTACTCGTTCCTATTTCGATGTTAGCTGGGTAAGGGTATCTCGTATATTTTGTTGTGACAATCATACATACTTAGCCATACATGTATGTATATATATATATATGTGCGTACATATATAATATAATAAACTTTATTATATATATAAATTAAAAGCAATTATCAGCGCCCTTTAAAATGTTGACAAATGAATACAGATTGCAAAACTTCCCTTTCCTTTCCCACATAATAAACGTTTTGCGCCCCTACGTGCTTTCAGAACGTCTGCCATTCGAAAAAACGCGAACAATGCCATACAAAGCTGATAAGAGCAACCGCAGGAAATTTTAGTCAATTGAAAGTTATCGGATATCTAAATCATAAGCCACATAAATGCTGCAAAATGCTGGTATAAAATCTTAACATACCTATATACATACGTAAGTACACATGTGTGTATGTGGGAGTGTGTTTGTGGCTTTCGCTTAAGAACTTCTTCGAAGGTACGTCGCACGTTGGCCAAATGCTTGAACGAGTTAATCATTCAATTAATTTCACTTTTGACTATTTTTGCAAAAAAGTTCGCATTTTGTTACGAATATGGGGCCAATGGCAAAGCGCGTAAGCATTTTCATACTTGGCTTTATTTGTCGACTTATGTATTATACCTACGTATGTGTATATGGACATGGTCTGTGGCCAATTGAGTGTGCATAATAAATGGCAAATACGCGCACAACACACACACACATACATACTAACTTATGTACAGATGCATGTTGAGAAATCTTTAGCAAATAGGCACACCCGTGTGAACACCGCAGTAAGCAGACATACACACGCGCAAGCTAATTATATTTACAAGTGTGTATGTGCATGCAGCTAACCGTCAGTTGTAACATATGGATTGGATTTTTCAATACCTATTGCAGTTGGACAAACATTGATACTTAATAAATAAACATACATATAATACATATGTACATATACGCATATTTACATACATGGTTTAAGTATTTAAGCATACAGAGGCGAATTCTTGTTGTTGATTTTTTAAGCTCAAGGTAAGACGCAGACTTGCAAAAATGCGTACAAATTGGCAAATAAAACTCAATATGAAGGGAAAATACGCAGTGACTTCAAATTAATTGAACGGAGGTAGGGAAGGGCTTAGTTCGGGTATAACCGAACATTTCCTACTCTTGCAACTTTTCCGAATTTGTATTATATACTTAACATTAATTTGTAAAAATATAAAATTCCATTAACACATATTTTTTGTTAAAATAATTATTACACCAAAATAGTTTCACAAACTTAAAATATATATACACGTATATACAAGTATCATTGTATAAATGTATTGACAAATTATTAAAAGTTAAATAAAAGCTGGTAAAAATTTCAGTTGAATAAAATCAAATAAAGAGGAATCAGCCAAATACTATTGAAATAAGCAAAAATGTTTTAAGTTCAAAACTTTATATCTATATATTATATATTAAAAGAAATTAATTCGAAATAAGTTACACTAAGTATTTTGATTTATATATACATATGATACAGAAAATATAACTTAAATATGGTTTATGCATCAAATACACTAATTAATTTTGCGTTTATTAATTTTTGTCGATTTAAACTCTTTTAGCACATTAACCCCAAACAAATGTACATACCTATGTATTGGCAATAAAAATATAACTTAAAACTTTATAAACCGAAACTTCACAAAATTGAATTTAATTGTTACACGTAATAATCACTTAATTTGTTATTACAAATACTTTAACTTACAATTTCTCTTCCAAGTGCGGAACTGATGATAGAGAAAGCAGGAGCAGATGCAGAACACCATTGAGGTGAGCACGAGTGTGAGCACAATACCGATCCACACCTCGTTCATGAACTTGTCGTACTCCAGTTGGCGCTGCAACTCGTCCACTGCATCAAAGCCGGAAGAATCGATCGAAACATGATTCGGTGGCGGCGGCATACCGAACATATCTATATCGTGTTCGCTGCCTCTCAGGGAAGCCCCAACAACCGGTGAATTGTCGAATTTTATATATTTTTTCAATTGTACGGAATTGAGCAGCGTCGCGCCGATTTTTTGCAAAAAATCACTGGATGCTCTGAGCGTGGACGTAGATGGGTTTACGGTGGGCACTGTGGGCGCGGCAGGAACTATAATGGTTTTGCTATTTTCGAGTATATGTTGCGCGTACTTGTCCAGGGGTGGCAGTTCGTGTGGCTGTTCGAAATTTAATGAACGTGCGAGATCTTCCATGCTAGCGTTTATACGGCGTACACTCGAAATGAAGGTACGATATCACTTTCTTGGGTCGACGACTTTCTTGTGTCTTTCTTTTTTTGTTCAAAGAGCAATGATTTGTGTTCTGTGTGGCGGGTGTTTATTTATTTTTTATTGTTTTGTGGGTTTTGCGATTTATAAATTGGGTCTCATTTGAAATTCCTTTATCAGTGTGGTGGTCTTTTTACTTTCTCCCGGCGTACGTTGCGTTTTCCTTTTATCTCTGACACGCTTTATATTATTCGCTTTTCTTTGTTACGATACGACTGAGTTGCTACACTTTAAACTTTTTAGAAATCTTTTTTATTTCACTTCGCGTTTCAAAAGCAGTTAGCAGAAGATCTAGTACGTCTGTCGCTAACGCAATCTCTGTTTAAACTGTTGGCTGTAGCGTAGATACGCAGTTATAAGATACTCCGCACTAGCGGTAAGAGATAACCTCAATTCTGTAACGACTCTCACACTGCTTAAAGTAAGTCTCTCCGCAACGCTGATCTTCTCAAAACGAACTAACAATGTAAAGACTCTAAGACTCAGTGTCTTTCGCGGTAGTTTGAGTATAATTTTATTAGCAGGCGGTATTATAGGCTTGAGCATGAACTGTGATTGAAGGGAAACTACGATGTCTCATTATCACTCGTACGTTCGCTCTCCGTTTAACATGCTTTCCACTTGCAGTCTGTGCTCAGCACGGCATACCGGCTACCTGTTCTTAGTCAATTATTTTGCTTTGCTCAACATTTCTACTGTACATTTTTGCCATGTCTTCACTTCTTTTTTTCTCTTTTCGTGACGGTGAGTTTACAATAAAGGCCTAATTTTCTTTCGGAAATGGATTTCTGTCAGTTTAAGTGCTCTTTACGCCGTACGTACCCTCACACCTAGAATGGCTGCTTAGGACCGCACTGTGCGAATGCTCTACTACCGTCTGTTCTTGCTCATTTGCCGCTCGGTTACGCATCAACAAACAACAACGAGGCACATCTTTCCATTCTTCGATTGTTCTTCTACCATTTCTGTATAGATGGATGGTTGGTTGGCTGGGAAATGTTTCGCTAGGCCACCAAAAACAAGAACATTAATTCGTGTTGTCTTGTATTTTGTACGTGTGGCAGCATAAAACGATCGTATTCTCAGACATAATTCGTGTTCTATTCTACATTTTCGAAATGTCTCTGTTTGTGTTGAAACCTCTAGATACATACGTGCATATGTGTCCGTATGTCTGCATGTGTGTTGGTTAATTTTTGTGGCAAAAACAAGGAAAGAAGAATAGTTGTCTACATACAATAGATTTAAATTATGTGGCCCATAATTGGCGTTACAAAACAATTTTGAGGATGACAAACAGACAAGATTCCTTGTTGCTGTCTTTATTTTGGTTCGCAGAGCAACACATTTATCCAGCAACACTATCAAATGACATTCCAATCGTATTCATCATAGGTTTTTTTGTGCGTCTTTCGCTCCAAGTTTCGGTGCTCCAAGTACTGTGGAGTCTATTGACGAGTAATATTAAGACAGGTTTTGAATTTCTGACAGCGGCTCACTAATGAATTTTTTTAGAATTTGGGTGAATATTTAAAAACATTTACATGTAAATGTTTGTAGTTTCTTGCTCCTGCTTCCTGCTTCTTGTGTGCTCATTATGTTTTTAATCTGTCTGTTAAATATGATTTATGATGTCGTAGATTTTCACCTAATCTGCATACATACATAAATATATGTGTGTACAATTTATTTATATATAAAACATACGGAAATATTTACAATAAAGCTGATCCATCCTAAGGATGATGAAGTTTGAATTGCTCTCTTTTTATGGGTTCACACAAACCACAAGACCGAGCGTTCACCGGTCACCGGAAATGTATAGACGCACTATTTCAAAGTCTTTGATATAATATTATATTGATAAGCTTAAATAATTTTTCAAAGACTCAGTTTGGATTGGATTGATTTAATATCCGATTGTTACTTGTGTACAGTTGAGTAAAGCATTTTCACCGCATAGTAGTTTTGTGGAACTTAAACCCTAGATGGTACCAGGGACGAATTATTATAGCGGTTTGGTGATTAAATTAGGGATTGGGGAGTAAATCTTCAAAATATTGGTCAAATATGCGCGGAACAATCAAAGATGGAATTTAGATCGATTTAGTAAACTAGTTTAGTGAGTATCTAGGGTGCAATTTATCGTAGATTTGCATTTTTATACACTTATTCCGTGAAAACCGTCAATTTATAAGACAATTATGGTCCATTGATAATAATCCTAGCTAATCTAGCTGAAGCTGAACTTTAACATAAGGAAAGTAAACTAGCTGTTAAGATACTGATAAATAACTAGAAGTAACACTAATCGGGAACAGATTTAAAAGTTGTGATGAACTGAATCCAATACATCCAAAAAAATGCCACACACATATGTACATGTAAAAAAGACATTCAGACATGGGACTTAAAGCAAATATCCTAATATTATTTTATTTCAACTATAATCTATTTCAGTTAGGGGTCGCACAATATAAGCTCCTTTATCGCCAGGTCTAGTAAAAAGAAATCAATTGATTTGCATTACATTGAGGATGAAATTAATAGCACAGTGATTCAATTTAGGTCGAATAAAAATTAAATAAATTATTTATTCGATAAATTTCTGACGTTTTGAAGGCAATTTCATAATACCACTCTAATAAAAACCCGTGTCCATATTGCCAAAATTTGGGATAGCCGATTTTCAAAATCACTTGGGGCAGGGTCCGGACTATGAGATGGATGCAACAGAACCTTCCAATTCCAATGATGAAACAAAATGTTTCTATTTTTGGCCGGTTCTGTGCGATTTCTTTCTTCAGACGGGACAATCGTTGACAGTACAGGTCAGAATTAGGAGTGGTTCCGTAAGAGCGCAGCTCATAGTAGATGATTCCCTGTCAAGCCCACAAAACACGTATCAAATCCCTTTAGCCTGGCTGGCTACCATTTACGACAGCACGCGATTCGATCACGGTCGTTTTTACCTAACGTTGTCATAGGGACGCCTATTTGTCGAATTATCTCAAAAAGCTTGCCGCAATAGTAAATGAATTTTAGGACCTAGACAAAATATACACTCCTATTCAGAAGGAAACATCGGAGGCCCTATTAAATATATATATAAATAATCAGCGTGCCGAGCTGAATTGATTTAGCCATGTCCATCTGTATGTCCGTCCGTCCCTCCCTCCGTTTGTCCGATTGTACGCGAACTAATTCATCAGGTTCTGAGATGTCACTTTGAAATTTTACACACTTTCTTCCTCACCAAGAAGCTGCTCATTTATCGAAACCGCCGATACGGATCACTGTAGCATAAAGCTGCCATACAAACTGATGGGACTCAAGTTCTTGTATGGAAAACCTTTTTATTTGACAGGATATCTTAACGAAAATTCACATGACATTATTTTCTAAGTCAACGGAACAAATTGTTCAGATCGGACCACTATAGCATATTGCTGTCATACAAGCCGAATGATCGGAATCAAGCTCTTGTGTGGAAACTTTTTTATTTGTGAAGGGTCTTCTAGCTTCGGTGCGATTGAGTTTTATGTGTTTTCTTGTTTTATATTCGTTTTTCTATAAGTTTACAGTTTCAATATTTGTATGTTAGTGTAAGTATCGGCCAACAACAAATCGATTGTACGCAAAGTGTTTGCACAATTGATCAATTATGATGATACTGCCTAAAGTGATGAAAGCGATGTCATAAATTCATAATTCGAAAAACAACCTTAATATACATACAAACATAAATATGGTACGAGAGTAGAAAATAAGCAAGCGAAAAACAGTCACCGACGCAAAACCGTGTCCCAAATCAGCTGATACGATTTATCTTATGAGAGCGCAATGTAAATGAACAGTCACCACCGCTTCTACCGTCCGCTTCAACAGACCGTACGGTAGGATATCCGCGAAAATTGGAAACGAGTGAGCTGAGAGTGAGAGAGCATCTCTTGCAACGCAGAGTTGCCAATATCGATATTTTTTAGTAATTAAAAAATTAACTTGAATAAATTTGAAATATTCTTAAAATAACTCAGGCGAATACACTTAGTTATAAATAGGTAAACTTGTAGTTGGATTTTAGTTTTCCAATTTTACATTAGGAAAATTATAATTAAAAAACTAAATGTGTGAAAAGTCGTGTATACAAATTGAACAATGGCAACATTGGTGAAATGAAATCAAAAGAGAACAACTGATTTCTACGTTGCCACTACGGGCATAACTTTTGACATATTTGGTTTGATACGGGCGGTAAGTACGGTAGGGAAGAATGTCGGTGACTGTTTGTGCACTCAGGGAGGATTACATTGAAAGCAAAGGTAATACCGTAGAACGAAGGATGTCGATGGCTGATTAAATTAGCGAAATAAACAACAACTAAAGGAAGTACAGAAATAAATATAGATAAGAAAGTGTGAAAACAAACTGAAAAGAAGAAGAAAGAAAAGAGGAAAATCAGTGAAGCATAAATGCATAAATACCTTTAACTTTTTAAAAATTAACGAATATAAAGAAAAGCTTGAAAACAATATATCATATGATCTAATGTACATATATAGTACAAACATATGTATATGTATATATGCGTTTGTGTGAAAAACGGAATTAACCGCTGAGGACGCTCGCAATGAGCTAACTTCGCGAGGGTTGAAATAACAAAAGACAATTATTCGAGAAAGAGCACTTGTTACCTACACGGAATGGTCACGTTGTGTGCTGCTTTGAAGGGAAGATGCCGGTTGTCTCGGCAATTTCCTATGAAATAAAGAAAAATTAAATGAACAGAAGGGGCAACGGTTTTCTGGAAAAATAGTGCATGTAATTTCGTGGCACAAGTTCATGCATCATAAACAATGGAAAGCTGTGGGAAATTGTAGGGAGCAATGAAAATATGTATATTGATAGGATGTTAACAGAGAAAGTTGGAAATGCGACTAAGGGTTTTGTTTAGAATTATTTTTTTTTTTCTTGTAAGTTGAAGATAAATACCTTAATCAAATATATTTGCACATATTTATTTCCATCCCCCGGAACCAAGTTTTGATTCACTAAAATTTAAATTCATGTCGGCTATTTGTTGTCGTGGCGCAGCCTAATTTTCGATCATTCTAAGAACGGCACTTTGTGAAGATAACTTCCTCTACATTTTAACCGGTTCCTGAAGACTAGGGTAGAACTTTTAATGACTACTTAAACAGTTTATAAAAATCGTTAACTGTTCCTTTATTATGTGCGGGTTCAATTATATCAAATTCAACGATTACTGTGGTCAAAATAATGATAGTCAAAGTCAAAACAATGAACGGGTTAATTTTTATTCTGAATTTACAATATTGCTATATTTTCACAAATTTTTAAAGATATTTGACTCCGACGTCACCTATCAAGGGTTTTTGTCCCACTACTTTATTTGACAAATGCGTGAGCCAAGTATTTAGGCTGGGAACAGTTCCACACAACAGTTATTTTGTTTATGTGTGATTAATTAGGCGAACAGATTTTATCTTGTTTTAATTCTCTCCCAACCTGTTGCTACAGAGTATAAACGTTTTGTTCACCTAACGGTTGTTTGCATCACCTAAAACTAATCTAGTTAGATATAGGGTTATGTATATATAAATGATCAGGATGAAGATACGAGTTGAAATCCGGGGGACTGTCTGTCCGTCCGTCTGTCTGTCCATCCGTCCGTCCGTGCAAGCTGTAACTTGAGTAAAAATTGAGATATCTTTATGAAACTTGGTACACATATTTCTTGGTACCGTAAGACGGTTGATATTAAAGATGGGCGTAAACGGACCACTGCCACGCCCACAAAACGCCATTAATCAAAAACAAATAAATTGCCATAACTAAGCTCCACAATAAGATACAATGCTGTTATTTGGTATACAGGATCACATCAGGCATCTATAGTTTAAATTATTTTTTAAAAGTGAGCGTGTTCCCGCCCCCTAATAGGTTTAATGTGCATATCTTCTAAAGCGCTAAAGCTTTAATAACAAAATTCACTGAGAATAAAGGTTTTTAGCACCTCTATCACTCTTACAATGTGAAAATGGGTAAAATCGGGTGACAACCCCGCCCACTCCCCATATAAGGGTGCTGTTAAAAACTATTAAAAGCGCGATAAATCAAGTACTAAACATGCCAGAGACATTGAATTTTATCTCTGGGATGGTATGAGATGACTTTATGGGAACCGACTTCAAAATTAGACAGTGGGAGTGACACCGCCCACTTTTAGGTAAAAATCTATATCTTGGGATTTGCTTAACCGATTTCAACTAAATTCGGTACATAACATTCTTCTTATATCTTATATTATAGTGAGAAAATAGGCGAAATCTGATTACAACCACGCCTATTTTCCATATAACATCATTTTAAATTCCATCTGATTCTTTCACTTTCCCTATGCAAATCAAGCAACAATCATTGTATCGGGGTAAAACTTTGCGTGAATAATGCGTTTAAAGTATGCCACCTTGTGACTTGTCTAAATCGAACCAAAACTGTTCAAGCCCCTAAGTACTGAATATGTGGACCCCAGTGCCTATAGTTAACTTTTTACCGAAAATATTGGTCAATGTGAAAGATATATATTTCATACAAGTATAATAAAATAAATAAAAGAAACCTTCGATAATAGTATGTTTTGTGTCAAAAATGGGTTAAATCGGATCAATACTTCCTTTAATATAATATTTTTCCAACACCTGAAGTAATTTCTCGGCTTTGATCCTTGCAACTTGCGAGAGTGTAAAATGTTCGTTTACATCCGAACTTAGAACATCCTTACTTGTTATCATTATTGTTATAACGCAATATTTATAAAATATTGGCCCAGTAATAGACTATTTCTTGGAATTGCTATCTTTTTATACACTGAACAGGGTATATTAATTTTG